GTTTTACGAAATGAACGGGCCAATTTTTGCGTCCAGAGGCCCTCTTTGGACGCATCTTGGATGCCTCTTGGGGCCTCTTGGGGGCCTCTTGGGCCGCCTGGAGGCCATCTTCGGTGTCTTTGATCGCTCTTGGACCGTGTGGGACCATATTGACCTCTCTTGGAAGCCACTTGGGGCGCTCCTGGAGCGCTCTTGGGGCCGTTTTCGGGGCCCTCTTGGGCCGTCTTGGACGCCTGTTGGGCCGTCTTGGGGCCCTCTTGGGCTATCTTGTGACCCTCTTGGAGGCTTCTTGGGCCGTTTTGGGGCGTCGTGGGGCCGTCTTGGGGCGGTTTTCGGGGCCTCTTTGGGCCGTCTTGGAGCGTCGGAAAGCCCACAAGGCGAACTTGTGAAACAGATGCGTTTTACTAAAGAAATGAGCAAATTTCTGCGCCTAGGGACCCTCTTGGGACGTATCTTGGAGGCCTCTTGCGGGCGTATTGGGCCATCTGGAGGCCATCTCGGGTGTCTTTGATCGCTGTTGGACCGTCTGGGACAATGTTGAGCTCTTTTGGAAACACTTGGAGCGCTCTTGGGGCCGTCTTCGGGGCTCTCTTGGGCCGTCTTGGACGCCTCTTGAGCCGTCTTGGGGCCCTCTTGGGTTGTCTTGGGGCCCTATTGGAGGCTTCTTGGACCGCCTTGGGGCGGTCCTGGGGGCCTCTTGGGCTGTCTGGGAGCGTCGGAAAGCCCAAAAGGCGAATTTGCGAAACATGTGCGTTTTACGAAATGAACGGGCCAATTTTTGCGTCCAGAGGCCCTCTTTGGACGCATCTTGGATGCCTTGGGGCCTCTTGGGGGCCTCTTGGGCCGCCTGGAGGCCGTATTCGGTGTCTTTGATCGCTCTTGGACCGTGTGGGACCATATTGACCTCTCTTGGAGGCCACTTGGAGCGCTCCTGGAGCGCTCTTGGGGCCGTTTTCGGGGCCCTCTTGGGCCGCCTTGGACGCCTGTTGGGCCGTCTTGGGGCCCTCTTGGGCTATCTTGTGACCCTCTTGGAGTCTTCTTGGGCCGTCTTGGGGCGGTATTGGGGACCGTCTTGGGAGCATCGGAAAGCCCGGAAGGCGAATTTGTGGCAATTGCACGTTTTAGGACATGGAATGGGCCAATGTTTGCGTCTAGGGACCCTGTTTGGACGCATCTTCGAGGCCTCTTGGGGCCTCGTGGGGACCTCTTGGGCCGTCTAGGAGGCCTCTTAGCTCGTGTTTGGGCCATCTTGGGCGTCTTGGAGCGCTCGTTTGGCGTCTCGGGGCCCTCGTGGGCCGTCATGGAGGCTTCTCGGGGCCTTCTTGGCCCGTCTTTGGGCCCTCTTGGGCTTGGAAAAACTTTGTGATGCGTTCACCCGGGGCGAGGGGGGGGTCAAATCTCCGGCTTGGGGCCCCTGGGAGGTTATGGGGGGGAACTATCTCACACGCCTAGAGACAGACCCACAAGGGGTCGGCGGATTTCGGCTTCTGGAGGCGCAGTTGTGGGCGCTCTTGGGGCCTTCTCGGGCCGTCCTTGGTGCTTTGGGGGCCCTCTTGGGGCCGCCTTGGGGGCCTCATGGGTCCCCGTTGGGAATTTCTTGGGCTGTTTTGGGGCCGTCTTGGGCCGCCTTGGGGCCATCTTGGGCCATCTTGAGGCTTTTGGAGTCCCCAGAGGCCCAAGAGGCCGATCTTGCTGATTTTTCAATTGGTTTTTGAATGTTTTTAGGGCCCCAGAGGGGATGACCAGTTTGGCACGGCGCTGCGGCGCGGCTCCCAGGGGGGGTTAGGGGGGAGACAGAATAATTCAACGCGATACATTATGTTGCAATTATGGAATCTTTGGATACATTGGATACGTTGCATTAAGGCGTTCGCCGAAAAACGCTGCCGCTCAGCACGTCACCTCCGGACGTGGATTCCTCTCGCTTCGCGGGTGTGCACGTCCGGACCACGTACAGTCCAGTTGTTGCGGGGCCTTTGGGGAGCTTCCTTGTGGCCTCTTGGAGGTGTCTTGGGTGGGGGCCTCTTTGGAGGTGTCTTAGAACCGCTCACGCAGTTAGAATGCACCGTGAGCGTGCTGCCTTCAGCCATCGTAGCGAGGATTTTCGCCAAGGTGCGGGGACGTGGAGACTCGCTCGTCGAGGTTCCAACCTCGGGCTGAGGGGGCGATGAGGACGATGAGGAAGAACAGGAGGGAAAAGACGGGGATAGGAATGAGGATGACGACGATGAGGAGGATGAGGAGGGCGATGAGGGAAGCGGCGGCCCCATCTTCCCTCCCAGCGCCGGCTCTACTCATGGGCGCCGCCGTGACCAACTTCCACGCGACAGGGCGCTTTTGCGTTGTATCGCCCCTTGGAAAAGCGTCCTGGGGGGATCCCGCGGCCGCCTTGGGGCTCTCTTGGGGTCCTTCTGGGCCGTCGAAGGGGCCTCTTGGACCGTCTTGGGGGCCTCTTTGGGCCGTCTTGGGGGCCTCTGGGGCCGTCTTGGGGCCCTCTCGGGGGCTTCTTAGGCCTTCTGGGGGCCATTCTGCAGGCTGCTTGGGCCGTCACTGGCTTGTCCGAGTCGAGAAAGGCGAGAACGTTAAAATCTTCCCACAACCATACGAACATTTATGATTGTGGCGCCTGGAGGCGCTATTGGGGATCCTCTTGGGGCCCTCTTGGGGCGTCTTGGTAGGTTTTTGGGCCCTCTCGGGGCCATGTTGGGTCGTCTTGGGGCAATTTTGGGGCTCTCTTGGGCCGCCTTGAAACCATCATTCGCCTTCTTGACGCCCCTTGTGGGCTTCGAGGAGGGTCCCGAGGCCCAAATCAATGACTTCCATGCGTTTTTTTAGGTTTTCACAAAGTACGTGGAAACGGGTCGACGACTCGGCGGCGGCCCTGGGGGGGGAGTAAGGGGGGTTGCTTTTCAATGTATGAGAATGCGATGTTTTGCAATCGGCCTTCCTTGACGTATCGTGGCTGGGCCCTGGCGTCACACACCCGTCCTGTCGGACTGCCGAGGCGCTTCGCTGCAGTCCGGACGTGGACCGTCGCATGTGTCATCCTCTCGGTTGCAATTTTGGAGGCAGTTTGGGCCGCCATGCCTCCCTCTTGGGGACATCTTGAGGCCCCTTGGGGGCCTATTTGGGGCATGTTGGGGCCTCTTGGGGGCGTCCTGGCCCGTCTATGGGCGCTCTTCCGCCGTTTCGCCCCTTCGGGGACCGTCTTGGGGGCCTCCCACGGCCGCCTTGGGGCACTCTTGGGATGTTTTTTCGCCGTCCTAGGGGCCTCTTGGACCGTCTTGGGGGTTGCTTTGAGCCGTATTGGGGCTCTCTCGGGCCGTCTTGGGGCCCTTTGGAGGGCTTCTTGGGGCTTCTTGGGGTGCTTTTGGAGGGTGCTTGGGCCGTCATTGGCTTGTCAGCGTCGAGAAAGGCGAGAACGCGAAAATATTCCCAAAACCATGGGAAAATCTATGATTTTGGCTTCTGGAGGCGCTCTTGGGGGGTCCTCTTTGGACCCTCGGGCGGCGTCTTGTGAGCTTTGGGGCTCTCTTGGGGCCATCTTGGGTCGTCTTGAGGCCGTTTTGAGACTCTCTTCGGCCGCCTTGAAGCCATCTTGAGCCGTCTTGACGCCCCTTGTGGGCTCCGAGGAGGGCCCAGAGGCCGAAATCAATGATGCCCATAGGTTTTTGTAGGTTGTTGAATTAGTGGACGAAAGGGGTCGGCGACTCGGCGGCGGCCCTGGGGGGGGATTAAGGGGGGATACATAATAATGTAACACAATACAATATGTGGCAATTATGCAATCATTGGAAACATTGGATACGTTGCAGTAAGGCGTTCGCCGAAAAACGCTGCCGCTCAGCACGTCACTTCCGGACGTGGATTCTTGGGCTTGCGCCGCACCGCCGACCCCTCGGGAGGCGCCGGGGGCTCGAAATGCCCGTTCGGGCACCCCGCCTTGGCCCCCTCTTGGAGCCGTCTTGGGGGCTTTTGGGCCGCCCTCCTGGGCCGTCTTGGGGCCTTTTCGGGGGCGATCTGGGCCGTCTCGGGGCGATCTTGGATGCCTCTTGGGCCGCTTTGGACGTTTGAAAGCCTTAGAGGCGATTGTGCTAACATCATGTGGTTTCCTAAGGCGGGGCAATGTTTGCTTCTGGGGGCCCTCCCTCGGGGGCCTCTTGGGGCGTCTCGGGGGCCTCTTGGGCCGTCTGGGGGCCATCTAGGGCGTCGTGGAACGATCCATCGGCGACTCGGGGCCCTCCTGGACCATCTCGCGGGCCTCTCGAGGCCCTCGTGGCCCGTCGTGGGGCCCGCGGCGCGCTCAGCCGGGCCCGGCCAAACCACCCCCGTTCCAAACGGGCCCCGGGGGGGGGATTGGGGGGGGGGGCGTTTCACGCGCCGGTGATCCCGAGGGGTCGGCGGATTGAATCATTCGGTGTCGCACCATTCGGCGTGGAATCTCCGATGGGCACGTCGCCAACTTGATGAGCAATCAGGACACATGGCGAATGAGGTAGAGCATACAGGTGAGAGGCTTGGTGCTTCCGCAAACTAAGATAGCGGAGTGGTCGAGCGCGGCGACAGTTCAGCATGCTAGATGAATGCTGCGTCCGTCCACAATGTGGATGGAGCGGCACTACCCACTGCGGCTTCTGCTCTGACGCATTGTCAGCTGCTCGCTACTGTGCCGTTGAACTTGTCCGCGTCAGAACTGATTTGTTTTAACAGGTCCGCTGCGTTTCGGCAGCTTTCCCGGCAAAGAAAGGGAAGCCACCGAGGCACGACGGACCCGCTTGAGCACCATAGTCCAACGGTAGGTTTGCATTGTATGCAGGGTACGGAAGGTTTGTTCCCGTTTTGGCTGCGTGGTTCAAGGTTAGTTGCCCGCGCCCGCCATAATGCGTTTCCGTTTCAACGCGCATTTTCCAGTTTTGGACACGTCCGCGAATAAAGAACCTTTTCGTTTTCCCATTCGTCTGCATTCTTCGTCTCCTGGTTGCCGCCGTGCCCCCCCGCAGGCACCGCATCGCGCCCGCGCACGACGCGGGGGGGATTTGCTGACGGCCGCCGCCCGTCCACACCCAGACAGGGGGGGGGCCGGGGCGAGAACAAAGGACGGGGGAGGAGGAGGATGCTGGCGGAATGCACAGCCTGAAGGGTGGCTGGCTCCTGCATGTGAAAATTAACTCGTTGACGAAGGTTCTCAAACAGACGATGCGCAAGCAATGTGCAAAAAATTGCCGATATTATCGGCCACGCGGCCGGGACATAATGAGGCCAGCATATGTTCCTTCCGGGGGGGTGCAACAGTGAAGAAATCCGCACGTGTAGAAATAGCAGGTAGCAGAAACATGGGGGGAATCTGTGGGGCGGGGCGGGATTCAGAGCAGCAAGAGGAATGAAGGGGCGGGGGCAGCGTGGATGGGAATAATGGGGAGCACAGGAAGAGTTCGCGCTGCAGCGAGACGGGGGGAGGGCCGAGCAAGGGAGAGAGCCTGGCGATGAGACAGTGCTGGGCACCGCCTTTCGAGGCGTTGGTCGCCGCCGCGCGGCGCCGCGATCGCTCAGCGCGCGCGTCGCAAAACAAAAGAGAGAAAGAGGATTGGATAGCCGCGGAGGAGCGCGAGGCGAGAGGAGGAACAGGAAACGAAACAAGGGCGACCGACGGCCCACGGGGACGCGAGGGCTCCGTGCCCAAAGATGCGCGGGGTGGGGATCGAAAGGTCCAACGTTGCGCCCCACCAGAAGAGGGAGGAGGCGGCCGGTGCCGCCGGATGTTGGCAGGGTAGTCTCGCGAGGTCTGGCCTGCCCTGCACTTGGTGGTGGTAGCTGGGTAACAAAGCCAGAATGCCGGGGTAATTAGGGGGGCCCAGCGTGAAAGGTCACATGACGAGGGGCGAAGGCCCAGCATGAGGGGTCAACGCATGTGGAGCCAGAGCCCCATCGAACCACAAGAAATGTAGAATCGATCTCAGTGGGAGCGTAACGGTCTGGACGTCGGAATTGAAGATCGAGTGACAGGGGTGGCATGATTTGTCCGCCCGGTCGTGCCCCCCAAAAGAAGAGAGCTAAGTAGGGCCGATCTTGGGCACAAGAAAACGTTGCACATTTTGTTTGCTGTGTTTCAGTTGGTACAGCCGATACGGAAGTGAAGGGTGAAGCGGGCGACGGAACGAAACTTAAGATTAAGTTCGTGACCAGAACAAGCGTGATAACATGACCACGTAGCTAACATACGCAGGGCAGGTCGAGCATGCGTGTACCAGGTAGTCGAGAGGAAGGATATCATGCGGAGGGAAGCAACATGGGGGATGTGTCCAATGTTGCACGGGGCACGACAATGGGGAATACAGAGACCCAGAGAGAGAGGGAGGGAGAGGGAGGGGGAGAGAGAAATGAAGGATAAACCCGCCGAGCGCAAGGCAGGGCCAAGAAGGATGGAAGCTCCGGCGGGTAGCCAGAAAAGGAAAATGATGGGATCATTCGGGAGAAAAACAAACCGAAACATGGGGCCGATGATGTGAGCGCAGCTCCACACGTCGTGTCTGATCGATATCATTGAGAGCCTAAACGTGTGTATGTTGGCAATGTATTTGGTAGGTCCGGCGGGTATGATATTGGCAACGACTTGTATCGTGCGCAAGGCGGGCAAGCGGATCGATATCGTACGTAAAGGTGAGACCGAGAAGGATGAGAGACCAGGCGGGTAAAGGAAAAGGATGGGAGATGTTCGGGAGTCAGGTAAACAGAACGGGGGGAGATGATGTGAACACAGCGCCACAGGACGTGCATAGTCGATTTCATTGGGAGCGTGACGGTCTGGACGTCGGCACTGCATAAAGAGTGACAGAGGTGGCGAAATTATCCGCCCCGCCGCGCCCCCACAGGCAGAGAAGAAATGAGGGCCGACACAGGCGCCGTAACAAAGTGTGCGTGTTTTTTGTTTGCTCGGTTGCTGTTGTGACAGCCGATACGGAGTTGAAGGGTGGGGCGAGCAGTTGCGGAGCATGTGCCACAATCGATCTTATAGGCGGCAGGTGGGAAAGGAGGAAGAGGAAAAGGAGGAGGAGCAGTGCAAACCCAAGACGCATCAGCGATGTTGCACAAGACCCTCCCTCCAAGTTCCTTCTTGAGGTCCATCCCTACAATAGTTGTTTCGTCAGTGCGGGAAGTGCCCGACTGAAAAGCAACCGTCTGAGAGTCCCCAATCGCGCTAAGACACGAGTATTGGAAGTTCAACGTCGGATGTCAACGTTACGGTTGCGTCTTGGCAGTCCTAAATCGCGCCAGGGTGCCATTATTGTAATCCCATTACCTCGAGTCAACGTGGTTGTTGCTTTATGGCGATTCTAAATCGTACTAGAACACTAATCCTGGGATTTCATCTGTACGAGTCCTTGCAACACTTGCAAACGTGTAAAACGAATTCGCGCGGCGCTGAGGCGATAGCAACACATTCAAGGACCGCGGGCGGTTGGTTTCAGAACGTGGTTCTCGCCTCAGCGCCGCGAGCATTTGTCGTAAAACGTTGCAGCAGCTTCAACGATAGAGGGCGGGTGCTTTTCAAAATGCGTCTCTTGCTTGAGCGGCACGCACATTCGTCTTAGAAGTTAGCAACAGTTTCAAAGATGGAGGGCGGGTCCTTTCTTCAACATGTGATTCTCGCTTCAACGCCGCAGACATTCGTCTTCAACGTTCGCGACAGTTTCAACCATGGAGGGTGGGCCTTTTTCAATAGATGTATCTCGTCCCATCGCCGTGCATATTTGTCTTAGCAGATTGTAGCGGTTTCAAGCATGGAGGGCGGGTCCTTTTCAACATGTGGCAAATTTCAAGAGTCAAGCTTCAGGATCATAAATGGTGTGGACGCCTCAGGCGAAACACCCAGCCTGCCCTACCGACGCGTCTAGGGTCTAGGGGTGCGGGGACAGGATGGACGAGGAGGAGGATGAGGAGGAGGATGCGGAGGAGTAGGAGTAGGTGCAGTCCAATGGAGCGCAGCGCAGTAGTTGCAGAGCGGCTGGCGTCAGGCAGACGGTTTGATCTCCCCGAGCCTGGTCCGGCGCGATCTTTCTCAGGCCAGCCGTGGGGGCGCAGCTCGAGGCGCCAGTCCGATCCGATCGATCTTCTCTCGCAAGTTCAGGTCGACGCGCAGACCGACCGCCCGCTCGGGACTGCGTGCGGTGAGCGGGGGCAGCAGCTCCCCGCCGCCCCCCCCCCGTCGGCGGGGGGGCCAGCGGGTTCGACAACTTCAACCCAAGGATGGGCGATGCGACCGTCAGGTTCCTGGAAGACAGAGGCCGCTGGGACGGGGGGACCAGGGCTCGTTCCGATTCCTCCGATTCGATGCGATCCGATGTCGATGACTTCCGTTTTCGATTCGACTTCGGATTCCAATTTTGACACCAACTCCTTAATTGAGGCATGCTAGTTGGCATGGTGGCCTTCCGATTTCCGCCGATTCGACTTCTCCCGACTCGGCTGCCGATTTACAGCGATCCGATGCATTTCGGCCGCCGATCCGACTTGTTGATCCGATTCTGGGCTGTCCCGGGGGGACGGGGGCGTCGTCCACCGCGAGAATTGGACGGCAGGTTCGTGCCGTGTCGTCGCGGCGACGTTACCAGCGCGGGCATGCAAGGTTGAAGGCCGCCAGTGGCCCAGAATCTGCCAATGCACAGCGGTCCGTCGATGGAAACGACGCCAGTCTTTCAAGGTTGAACGGTCCAATCGGAGTCGTGCCCTAGGACCTCGAGGACCCCTGGAGGAGATGTGCATGTGGAGCCCCGCCCGCCCCCGCGGGCAGGTACCCAGGGACCCAGCAGCCGTGGACACGGATGTCTCTCGCGGCGGCGCAGGTCGTGCGGGCCAGCGGCTCCCGGGGGTGGGGGGCCCGCGGACCTGGTGGCCGCCGCCGGGCAGAGCTGCAGGGGACCCTTGCGGGGCCTCGGGGGCACCACAGCACAGCACACACACAGACATACACGCACGCACGCACGCACACACACACACAACCACACGCACACGCACACGCACGCACACACAACCGCACACGCACGCACACACGCACGCACACACGCACACACGCAAGCTCGCACACACGCACACACGCACACACATGCACACACGCACACACGCACACACGCACACACGCACGCACGCACGCACGCACGCACGCACGCACGCACGCACGCACGCACGCACACACACACACACACACACACACACACACACACACACACACACGCACACGCACACGCACACGCACACGCACACGCACACGCACACGCACACGCACACGCACACGCACACGCACACGCACACGCACACGCACACGCACACGCACACGCACACGCACACGCACACGCACACGCACACGCACACGCACACGCACACGCACACGCACACGCACACGCACATACACATACACACACGCACACACGCACACACGCACACACGCACACACGCACACACGCACACACGCACACACGCACACACGCACACACGCACACACACGCCGTACAGAGGCACCACCCTATGGACCTTCACCCGGCAGGTAGCATCAACACACCACCCACCACGCCTGGCCATGGCCGTCTTGGGCCTCAGGGACCATGTATAGACTTTCGTGGCTTCGGCCAGGAGGGGCGTATGCACTGTGCCAGGGCCCAGGATGGCCCTGCCCAGACGTGGTGGCGGAGCGCAGGAGCCGTGTGGGTATCCGAAGGCTTCCGCGGGAGTCCCTGGCGGCAGTCAGAAAGCTTTTGGAGGCCGTCAGAGGTTCTCTGGGTCTTGTCCAATGTTTCTGTGCTCGAGGATTTCGGAGGAGACGCTCTGAAAGTTCGAGTGGGGAATCGACTACAGAGTTGATGCAACCCAAAATTATTTTTTCTTGCCGAAACAGGGAGGAACGTTCGTTTTTAGATGCGTAGAACGAACCGTCTACGCTTTATTCATGGACCCGACGAGAAAATTAAGTTTGGGGTAAAGCAATTCTGTGGTCGGCCCCCTACTCGAAGAGTGGCGTTTCAGATGCCTGCAGGCCGTGAGAGGAACGGCTGTTTCCGCCTGCTGTGGAAGCACTTCGGCCTGGCCGGCGGCTCGTACTTCCGCACGGAGGCGATCCTGGACGCCTTCGACCCCGTCCACACAAAGCGCATCGATTGGAAAGGCATGTATCTCGAGGGGCTCGCGCCGTCCGCCGCGGCGTGGAACGCTCGTCCCTCCTCCTCCTCCTCCTCCTCCTCCTCCTCCTCCTCCTCCCTTGCTGCGAGGCCCACCGCGCGGTGGGGGGGCGGGCCCGCGTGCGAGGCCCGCGCTCGCCCGCGCGCGCTCGCCCACGCTCGAGGGAAACAGCGAGGAAGGCCGCCGCCGCAGCGCGTCCGCATCCGAGGCCGAGGAGTCGCGCTCCGGGCTGTGGTGCTCCAGCCTGCTTTAGCCGTGACCACCAGAAGAAGTACCGAAACTCAAGCGTTTTCACCTGTCGGGCCCTGGGAGACACTCGCCCGACACTCTTTCGACACTTTTCCAGGTGCTCGAAATTATTTCTGGGATGCGGTCCTTAAGTACGATGGGAGCAACATAACCCAAGGGAATACCCTTGCATCCTTGCCCCTTCTGCCCCTCCTTGGCCACGCTCGTTGGCCGCGCCCCGCTCGAAAATCTTCGACGTAGCCTTCCAAGGCCCTTGCGTCCTTATTGCCCACCCCTGTGATACGGCCGGCTGTAGATCCGTTCCAGAGCGTTCCGGAACGCTCTGAGAAGGCTGGGGCGCCCGAGACATCCTCCAGAGCCGCCGGATCTCCGAGCTTCCTGGCTTGTTGATCCGTTCCAGAGCGTTCTCGTCTGAGAAGGTCGCGGCGCCCCAGACATCCTCCAGAGCCGCTGGATCTCAGAGTTTCCCGAATCATTCTCCCCCGAATTGATCCTCGTCCTGGCTTCGTCTCAGAGGATCGGGTCAGGAGAGGTCGAGGAGACGCAAACATGGATTACAGTCGGCCTTGATTAGTAGGTCGACCTCGCCGGATCAAGAGTACCCTTATATCCAGTGACTCGCGACCCATGCCTTCTCGCATTCCTATGGCAATTTGGCCCTCGGAAGGGTCCTGTCCCATCAAGTCCGAGGATTAGCGACGGGTTCCGCTTCCAGCGACGGTAGGATAGAGAAGAGCGGGTTCTAGACGGCGCCGCATCCCCAGTGCCTCGGCGATGCGGCCCGATCTTCCAGCCCCATCTGCTTCGGCCCCATCTGCTCGGGACATGGCCGGCTTCGCAAATGGGAAGTTTCGAGCAAGGTTGGCAATGAGGGGGTGGCGCGAGGCCGCACCCGCCTTCAAAGGAGGTGGGGGGGGTCTGAGAAAGGCCGATGGGGGCTCTTTCTGTTTGGGGGAATATCCCCGAGGATGTATGAATGAAAGCAGCGCCCGTGGCCCCACCTCGCTGATGAGGTCATCTCTGTTCGGACGTTTACCTCCTTACAAATCCACGAGGAACTGCAACGTTGATTACTTGTGTACCTCTTGCAGTCCCTGTCCGTACATTTATATATGTATGCATGCGTGCATGCATGCGTGCACGCACGCACGCACGCATGGATGTATGCATGCATGCATGTATATATATATATATATATGCATGTATGTATATGAATGTGTGTATGCATGTAGGTATGTATGCATGCATGTATGTATTTATGTACGTACGTACGTACGTATGTATGTATGTATGTATGTGTGTGTATGTATGTATGTATGTATGTATGTATGTATGTATGTATACATGTATGTATGTATGTATGTATGGACGCACGTATGTATGTATGCATGTATGCATGTATGTATGTATGTGTGTATGTGTGTATGTATATATGTAGCAATGGATGTATGTATGTATGTGTGTATGTATGTATGGGTGTGAATGTATGCATGGATGTATGCATGCATGCATGTATGTATGCGTGTATATATATATGTGTATGTGCGTATGTATGTATGTATGTATGTATGCATGGTTGTATGTATGTATATACGTATGTATATATATATATATATATATATATATATATGTAGGTGCATTTATGTATGTATGTATGGATGGATGGATGGATGGATGTATGCATGTATGTATGTATGTATGTGTGTATGCGTGTATGTGTATATGTATGAATGTATGTATGTATGTGTGTATGTATGTATGTATGTATGTGTGTGAATGTATGTATTTATGTATGTATGTATGCATACATGCATATATGTATGTATGTATGTATGTGTATTTATATATAGATATATATACATACATATATGTATGAATGTATATGTGTATGTATGTATGTGTGTATGTATGTATGTATGTGTGGTTGTATGTATGTATATATGTATGTATATATATATGTGTATGTGCATGTATGTATGTATGTAGGTATGTGTGTATGTATGTATGTATGTATGCATGCATGTATGTATGTATGTATGTATGTATGTATGTATGTATGTATGTACGTGTGTATGGATGTATGTATGTCTGTATGCACGTATGTATGTATGTATGTTTGTTTGTATGTATGTAACGTATGTATGTAGATATGACTGCATACATGCCTGCATGCATGGTTGCATGTATGTATGTATGATTGTATGTACACGTGCGTATGTATTCTGTATGTGTGCATGCATGTATGTATGTGTGTATGTGCATGTGCATGTGCATGTGCATGTGCATGTGCATGGGCATGTGCATGCGTATGTATGTCTGGATGTATGCACGCATGCATGCATGCATGTATGGAGTTTTGTATGCATGTATGTATGATTGCGTGCATGTGTGCACGTGTGCAGGTATGTACGTATGTATACATGTGTATATGCATGCATGCATAAATGCATGTATGCATGTATGTATGTATGTATGTATGTATGTATGTACGTTTGTCGTTCTGGATGCATGTAACTATGTATGTATGCATGCGTGCATGCACGTACCGATGTACATATATAAGTATGTGTGCATGCATGTAGGTGTATGTATACATATTCCTCTTCCTATACTTTTACAAGCCCGGGCGGGGGGAAAACACGTCACCCTCCGAAGTCGCCTGGGAGGTTCCAAAATCGCCCCACAGCCATCCGAAAGGGCTTCCAGGCAGTCCAAGAGAGCCCCAAACCGGCACACCAGGGGCCCAAAATGGCCCTAAGAGAGCTCCATGGCGGCCCAAGATGGCCGCAAGACACCCTCCGAAGCATGCCAAATCGTGACCGGGGCGTTCAGGGAGACCGCGGTTAGAGGCAGGTTGGCCTTAGGAAGCCCCAGAGGCCCCCAGAACACGCCCAGGATGCCTCCAGAAGGCTTTAAGGAAGCTTGAGAACTTTGGCGAGGCTCCCAGAGGCTCTCCAAGGAGGAGCCTCTGCAAAAAGAGCTGAGGAGGATGGGGAGAATGCCCAGGGTATGGCGAGAATGAGGAAAAATAAACATAGATGAAGGACAACGAACAACATTATTATGACGGCGATGCCAGAATAGCAGCAAGGAGTTAGCGTTAAAGTGTCCGCTTGACCTTCCTGCCGTTTCCGCCTGCATAGCAATCTTCAAGGACCAAGGTGCATGGCGCGAAGCGCCACTGCAATCTTGTATATATATACATATATATATATACAAACATATATATACATATATATCGTAGTAGGCCGGGGAAGGGGCCAGAACTGCGCCCTTTGATTCGCATGGGGGACCGGGGGGACCTTGAGGGCTCCAAGAGTGTTCAGAAAGGGGCCCCGGACACCCCAGAGGCTCCCAAGCTGGCCCAAGATGCGCCCAAAGCGCCCCAGGTTGTCTGGAAGGTGGCTGAAGAGCGCACTGAGATGGCTTCCGGATGGGCCACCAGCGCTCGAAGACAGCCCAAGACTGCTCCTAGACGGCCACAAAGGCACTCAAGACGGTACAAGAGGCCACCGAGAAGGCCCTCCAAGGGCAAACATCAAGCATTTCCTGAGGAGAAACGTCTATTTCCTGGATGTTTGCTTTTCAGTCCTGACAGCGGCCCCGACGGCTCCAGGGGCTCCCAAAATGAGCCCCAGACGGCCCAAGAGGCCCCGAGGAGGGCCCCCAGACGGCCTGAAGAGAGCTTCACGCGGCACAGAAGAGCTACAAGACGGCCCAAAAGAGCCCCCAGGAAGCCCCAGGGGGCCACCAGATGATTCTTACACGGTCGGAGAGGGCCCCGGGAGGTCCCCAAGACGGACTGAGCTCCCCACGACGAGCCAAGAGGGACCCGGAACGGCCGAAGTGGGCTCCCAGAGGGTCCAAAAAAGGCCTACCAGGACTCCCTGGAAACGGTCCAGGAGGCCGCTGTGAAGGCTCCCTGGTGCAAAAACGAGCATTTCCCATGGAAAGCCGTACATTTCTATGATGTTCGCTTCTTATGTTCCATCGGCGGCCACGTCGGCCCCAAAGGCTCCCCATATCGGCGCCACACGATCCACGAGACCCCCAAGAGGGCTCCAAGACAGCCTCAAGAGAGCGTCAAGCAGCACAAGGGAGCTTCAAAACAGGCCGAGAGAGTCCCCAGGGGGCCCGAGGGAGCCACTGGAGGATCTTTACATGGTCGGAGAGGGCTCCATGAGGGCCCCACGACAGCTCAGCTACCCATGACATGCCAAGAGGGGCTTGGGACAGCCGAAATTGGCTCCCAGACAGGCCACAGAGGGCCCAAAAGGACCCCCCCACGACAGTCCAGGAGGCCGCTGAGAAGGCCCTCCAAAGGCACAAATCAAGAATTTCCTCTGGAACAACGTATATGGAGCTTCGCTTTTCAGTTCTACCAGCGGTCGCGACGGCCCAAGAGGTTACCAAAACTGGCCCCAGACGCCCCAAAGAGGTTCCAATATGGGCTGAAGAGAGCTTCAAGCGGCACAGAAGAGCTACAAGACGGCCCAAAAGAGCCCCCAGGAAGCCCCAGGGGGCCACCAGAGGATTCTTACACGGTCGGAGAGGGCCCCGGGAGGTCCCCAAGACGGGCTGAGCTCCCCACGACGAGCCAAGAGGGACCCGGAACGGCCGAAGTGGGCTCCCAGACGGGCCGACAAAGGCCCCAAAGGATTCCAAAGGAAGGCCCAGAGAGGCTCCAGAGACTGCCACAATGCTTCCAAAAAGACTCCCGGCACGCGTTGGCACTCCTGTATTGGGTGCGTTGCGAGATGAGAGGAAGAGGAGGAGGAGGAGGACAAGGAAGATGAGGAGGAGCGGTAGGAGGAGGAGGAGGAGGAGGAGGAGCAGGAGCAGGAGGAGGAGGAGGAGGAGGTGGGAGAGGAGGAGGAGAAGGAGGAGGAGGAGCAGGAGCAGGAGGAGGAGGAGGAGCAGGAGTAGGAGCAGGCGGAGCAGGAGGAGGAGGAGGAGGAGGGGAAGGAATATCAGGAGGACGAAGAGGGGTAAGAGGGGGACGAGGAGTAGGAACATGGTTCTTGTAATATTATTTTGTTCTCGGATTCTCTGGCTCGGGGAGGGATGCTGAGGACGAGGAGGCAAGGGGGGCGCAGGATGACGGGCTCTAGAGGAGGAAGGAGGTGAAGTAATTAGGTGAAGTAACACAAGGAAGGACACATCGAAGAGCGAGGAAGACAGGGAGGAGGAGAAGGAGGAGGAAGAGGAGGAGGAGGTGAAGCAACAGGGATCCCTTTCAGGGAGACGCCGACGATGAAAAGGATGAGTATAAGATGATGGGAAGAGGGAGAACGGAAAGAGGAGGAGGCGAAGGGGACCGCAGTGGACCGGGGATGATGACGGCGATGACGTTGATGATGATGACGATGACTATGCCGACGACGACGCCGACGACGACCAACCAGATGTTGATGATGCGGATGATGATGATGATGATGATGAAAAGTTCGATGACGGCGGTGGCGATGGTGATCACGATGTTGATGATAATGGTGAGACTGACGATTGTTGTGATGGTGATGGTGAAGGTGTCCATGACGATGAAGATGACGGGGATGAGGATGACAATGATGACGATGCTCATGACCCTAGCTAGAACTTGAACGCGTGCGAAGCGCGCGCGATGGTTATAGTGTATGTATGTATGTATGTATGTATGTATGTATGTATGTATGTATGTATGTATGTATTCATGCATGCATGCATGCATGCATGCATGCATACATGTATGTATGTATGTATGCATGTATGTATGTATGTATGTATGTATGTGTATGCACATGTGTATGTGTATATGTATGTATACATGCATGTATGTACGTAGGCATGCATGTAGGTATGTGTATACATATACATGTATGCATAGGTGTACGTATGTACATACGTACGTATGTATGTATGCATGCTTGTAGGCATGCATGTATGTAATGGCGTATGCATGGATGCATTTACACCTATATGTATGCACGGATGTATGTGTGTACGTACGCATGTATGTATGCATCTATCCATGCATGTATGTAGTTATGCCTGCATTCACGCATGTACGTACGGACGTGCGTACGTACGTATGTATGTATGTATGAACGTTGTTACGTGTGTACGTCTGTACGTGTGTACATATCTACGTATGTACGTACGTGCAATGAATGTATATATGCATGTATGTGTGTATGCGTGTATGTGTGTATGCATGCTTGTAGGTATGCATATGTGTATGTATGTATGTATGTATGAATGTATGTATGTATGACTGTATGTATGTATGTATGTATGTATGTATGTATGTATGTATGTGTGTGTGTGTATGTATGTATGTATGTATGTATGTATGTATGTATGTATGTATGTATGCGTACATAGCGATGCGGCGAAACTCGGCATCCTGGCTGGTGCTGCCTCCTGGTGCCTCTCTGCGCCTTTGTGTGTGTTCTGTCTGTCGCTTTTCTGCCTCGTGTCCTTCCCGCTTCCGCTTTCCTGCGTGCTCTCCCTGGCCTGCCCCCATTTATCCTGTGAGTGCACGGCCTCATATCGTCCTCCTCCTCCTCCCCCGCCTCCTCCTCCTCCTCCTCCTCCTCCTCCTCCTGCTCCTCCTCCTCCTCCTCCCCCCTCCTCCCCCTCCTCCTCCTCCTCCTCCTCCTCCTCCTCCTCCTCCTCCTCCTCTCCTCCTCCCCCTCCTCCCCCTCCTCCTCCTCCTCCTCCTCCTCCTCCTCCTCCTCCTCCTCCTCCTCCTCCTCCTCCTCCTCCTCTCCCCCCTCCTCCTCCCCTGCTGCTGCTGCTGCTGGCACCCAAAAAGCGCCCCGCGGAGCCAGGCCCTCGTTGGAGCTGCGATCGTCGTCCATGCGATTGCCATTTGCGCCAGCGCGCGCCGCTTGCGTTCAGCCGATCCGTGCTGCCCCATGGCGGAGCAGGAAGCAGAGAGTGGGTTGGTTTACTGTAGGTTCGGGTCGTGCCGACGCGGTTGTGACGGGCGTTCGGGGTTGAACGCCGCCGGTGGCCCAGAATTTGCCAATCTTAAGCAAGTTGGCAATCGGAAGGCCACCGATCGTTCCAGGTTGAATGGTCCATGCGGTGTAAAAACCCAACGTTGTGGTCGTCACGACACGAGCTTGCCGTACGTGATCACAATTGTCAGCCACTTGCGTTCCCAATTATATGATATGTCTGGGTAAGTGTGTTGTTGCTTGGGGAAGGGCTTGGAACTCTTCTCAGCGTGAAACCAAGTGCGAACTCGCACCCATAGCTCGTGGTACCTCGCTGGCACCTCGATTGGGCGGGAGTTCCAGGCCCTGCGGACTTGGCTCGCCCGACGGAGGCCAGAATGGTCCGTGGTCGGCTAGGTCCGTGGTCGGCAGCGCGCCCAGGGGGAAAGGAAGAGGGGGACGGGCCTCCCAAGAGGCCTTTGAGGAGCATTCTGAGCCCCCTCAGAAGCGCCGCCGCCTGCTGAGAAGGCCTGCCCCTTTTCACGCCCCCCCCCTGGGCCAGAGGCGGTGGCCCACAGCGCGCTCTCGCTACCGCGCGACGCCCTCCTCAGGGTGCAGGGCATCCAGCGAGGGGGCTCGTGCACTTGAGAAGGCATACCTGTGACCACGTCTCGGCTGCCCCGTCCTCGCCGCCTGCAGCCCCCACAGGGCTCAGAGGGCGGGGCCCGCGGGCGCGAACGAGGGGCGAAGAACTGTGAGCAGCGACTTCGCGATGCTCGTGGCGCTCGCGTACCGGGGCTGGTCGGTCTACCCGTGGCACGAGGCCCCACTGCGCCTTTGGGCCGATCAGCAGCGAGCGCACGGGCAGAGAGCTTAATGGGCCCTGTAAAAACGACCAGGCATGTTTCGTTCCCAGTTCCGTTTTGTAAGCTCAGTCGTCGGTTCCCATGTTGTTTTTGTCGCCGTTCTGTTTCTTTTCTGGTTACGGCTCCAATCCCGGAGCAGTTTTCGACTGTTTTTGTCAGCCGTTGCTGTTTTACCAAATTCCAGAAACAGTTTTTTGTCCATACGGTAAAAGATTGGCCTTGTTTTTTGTCCTTGGCCCACTATAGCAGAGAGGGCAGCGCCCACGAGCGAGGTAGATCTCGTTTTCGAAATTACCTGGCGAGAACGGGCGTGACCAGGAGTGAGGGGAGGGGGGAGGCGGGGGCCGGTCACGTCACGGTCCGCGCCAGCGCTTTCCGATAACGCCTTAACATGGACAATGCCAGCACAGCGCTGGCGCGAATCGTGATGCGACCAGGGGCCGGGGCAGGGTGGGGGCCTTACAGTCGACCCGCAGAGTAGGGATAGGCATCCCTCCCAAGGGTACCCTTGCATCCTTGCTTCCTGGGTCCATCCTTGGACACTGTCGCTGGCCGCGCCCCGCTCGACACGCCTCGAAATGGGCGTCCAAGGGCCCTGCATCCTTTCCGCGCATCCTTACTCTGCGGGTTGACTGTATACCGCGCAAGAGAAAGACGGGCGCGCGCAGAGAGTCCCGGCGCTGCTCCAGAGGCTCCGGGGTCGAGCTGCGCCCTCGGGAGGCGGGCCCCGCAGCAGGTGCGCCTCGGCGGACGGCCCGTCTGGGCAGGCGAGGGGCCTCGAGAAGAGCGGTCGCTGAGAGGATGCAATGCGGCACGATCGGAATGGGCACCCATCGGTCGTCGAAGGTACGTACTCAAGGGCTCCCTCGAGGGCGCGAAGTTATTCGCGCTTCGCGGTTCGGCTCCGACTCCTCCTCACCCTCCCTTTCTCCCCTGGGAGGCGGCGCGAGAGCGCGAAGTTATTCGCACTTCGCGCTTCGCGCAGCGCGAAGCGCGAAGTTGGGAGCCCTTGTTTAGCAGGCAAGGGGCCTCGAGAAGAGCGGTCGCTAAGATGATGCAATACGGCACGATCGGAATGGACACCCATCGGTCGTGGAAGGTACGTACCTATCGAGTCCCAGGTTCCAATCCGCTTTGGGCGCGTTCCTGCTTGGAGGATCTGGTGCTTCTTCCCGATGTTACTCTGCCTTCAGGGGGCGGGTGGAGGTCCAATCGACTTTCACCGCCTTCATCCTTCATATTTCTGCCTAGTTACTTCTTTTGACCGATGGACGCGGAAAGAATTGGGACAAAGGCAGTTTCTGTCCTCTTTGGAATGGAGTCGTTGTCGGCGTTGCTGCGGCCGGTGTCCACTTGAGACAGTATCGCCTGCTCGACAGTGGTCGCTGTCGGATTTGGGCGAAACTTGCTGTCGGACAGTATAGCCTTTTTTCCATACCCATGTCGGGCGTGGCAGACAAAAGGCGGTCCTCAGTCCGGACCCCCAGCGTCTTGACTTTTTTTCACAACGTGGACGCCAAATCGGGTGCTGTCAGAGGTGTCTCTGGCCCAAGGTGCCCCCCATGACTTCCAGCAAGGCCCCCACGGCCTCCCGAGCACCTCTCACGAGGCGCCCAGAGGACCCCAGGGGCTCCAGGATGGCGCGAAAAGCTGTTAGCACCCTGGGCCAGGAACACCCCGACCATCGGCGTCACCCGAACATACTAATACTGTGTGTGCGCCGCCCCTCCAGGGGCGACGCGCGCACAGAGAAATCTGGTGGCATATGCGTCATGGCCGTTACCTTCTGGCCACACCGTTGGGGAAACGATATACTACAAGATGGGTATACTACATGTTCGGGTCGGACGCGCGTCTCCAAGGCGGACATACAGTACTAGCATGTCCCTGTGCGTCCCACCTCTAGCAGCCCCCGACCAGGAGTCTCGACCTCTTCCCGGAACGGGCCTTTCTCCTCGGCAGTCTGACTCGGTCTCTTTGGAGCTCGGCGGTAGGACCACGCTCTCCGCGCGGCAGCGGCGGGCGGCGCGCAGTGGCCCTGGCCGGTTGGTGGTCGCAGAGTTCGCCACGGAGGGAACGGGTCTTGTCCGGGAAAGGACCCTGCAAAGTGTTTCTCAGTCTTCGAGATCAGACCTGCCAGGGCTCCAGAACAATGAAAAGCGAACGAGGAAGAGGTGCCAATATTACCACACCATTTCCCCGTTTTCGCCTTTGGGGGGCCCCAGGGATTCCCTCGTTGCCACGACTGGATTCGCCTCGACATTCTGGTCAGAACGCACCCCAAGGCGAGGTTCGGGGAGCAGCGGTATTGAGTTCTTTGTGGTTTCTCCAAGAGCCCCTGTGTCCAGGGATTCGCTTCCACTAGAACCCCATGTCTTCGCAAGTTCTGACTCGTCGGGACGAAACCCAGCACGCCGGCGGCAGAACCAGGGCCGACAGCTGCTTCCAAGCCTGCCCCCCTGTTTGACAGGCGCTGCTACCACTCCACTGCGCCATGGTGCAGTGCATTGCATCTGATGGGCCGATTTTCCACCACCACTACCATAGGTAGGACGAGGGAGAAGGGAAGAGGGGGAGGAGGGGGGGTCGTCCTCCTCCTCCTCCTCCTCCTCCTCCTCCTCCTCCTCCTCCTCCTCCTTCTCTTCCTCCTCCTCCTCCTCCTCCTCCTCCTCCTCCTCCTCCTCCCCCTCCTACCTATGGTAGTGCGAGTGGAGAATCGTCCCATCAGCATCACCTTGACCCGGTCTGTACGTGCGCTGCCTCGTCGTCGGGGGCCCGGCTGCCCCGCGACCCGTTGACAGATCGCTGCGCCCAGGTTCAGGAGGGCAAAAATCACACAGACACAATTGATCGCCGACTCCCAGGAAAATATGGAAAATATGGAAGTTGGAAGTGGGGGGAAGATGAAAACCCAGAACATATACAAACATATGGGGAATCTTGGGATGTGTGTCTATTTTTATATGTGTGGGTGCGTGTGTCCCAGCGCCCATTTGCTGGTCCCGCGGGCTCCCAGCGGCCAGCCCTGCGCTCGCGTGCGCTCTCCTCCTGTTGACTTGCGGGCCAGCGGAGCTTTTGTTGCCCCGCTGGTCGGCTGCGGCCCGGAGGCGGCGCAGAATTTCGACCAGCCGGACAAGGGCCTGCCCCGCGACGAAGAGGGCCGCAGGCAGTTCGGGATCAAGTGGCCAGCTTACAACATGGACGGGAGGGGGGGAGTTCAGATAGCACGTCACGGAAGGTTCCGCTCGTCTTGGATAGAAAGCATATCTCGACAATTCGCGCCAAATAGCCTTCAATAGCGTTAAGTATCGCCGAATAGCGCTCAGACAACGCCCAACAGCGACCACCAGCGCCCAAAAGCTTCACGTGAGGGAGATGCATTCTGTCCGCCTTCTCCTTCCCATCCTCTTCCATCCCGACCAACGTCCGCCTGAAATTCGCCCCTCAGAGGAGGGCGAGTGCCTTCAGGGGGGCCCCTCGTCGCCAAGACTGGGCGCGGCTCGGAAATTTGTGCGCTTGGACCCCAGAAGAGGTCCGGGGACCGATTCAGAGCTGCCGTCGTCTCAGCTTCAGTCTCTGGACCTCTGCCGGGGTCCATCCTTGCACCTTTTGTTTCGGCGTTCACAAATAGGTGGGTCCCGGGGGGCCAGCCTTCTGAGACGGCGGGGGGCTTCTCACAAGGCATGTAAACACTTGGGAACGATCCGAGGGGCAAGTCTCACAGGCACATGGCTCCAACATTGGTCGGCAAGTTCTATTAACTACTTCGTCTGTGCTTCATGCGTCATCGTTTCGGGCCTTCATTTCGACCCAGTTCGGTTGTGGATTCAGTTCGATTGGTGTTCAGTCTCAGTTTACGCTTTGACTTCCATTCATGCCACGGAAGCCCTTTTCAATCGTTGTGCCGCAGGATGTCTACGTATGCTTTGTTCGGTTATGTGATGCGACAGTTTGCCGCCCGTCGAAGTGTTGTTTTCCCCCTATCCTCAAGATGGGTTTCTTGTTATTCCTCATATCCAAAAGGATGGGGTGGCTCGTTATTCCTTGTATCCCAAGGATGGGGTTCTTGTTTATACTCCGACCGCGCCGAGGCGGCCCACTCACCTCCCTCCTCCGCCACTTCCTCACCCAGAGCCACACTCAGATGTTATGTGATGGTATGTTATGCTATGCCATGGCATGTCATGTTATGGTATGGTGTGTCATGTAATGCTATATCTTGTTAATGGTACGTAATGGTATGATAGTTATGTGATTCCCCATATCCAAAGGATGGGGTTATTGTTATTACTGTGGCCGCGTCGACTCCTTCAGGTCACCTCCTCCCCTCCTTCTCGTCCCCATCCCACTCAGAGTGTGATGATGAATGTTATGGATGTAAGTTATGTTATGTTATGGTATGTCATACCTGTTATGTTACGGTATGCTATGTATGGTTATGATTTGGTATGCTATGGCATGGCGCACCACATTATGTTATGTTATGTCATGGTGCGTGTTGCTGCGATTATGATTGTTATGATGATGATGGTGGTGATGATGATGTTGGTGACGATAATAATGAGGATGCTGATGATGGTAGTGATGATGATGAGGATGTTGATGATGATGGTGATGGTAATGATTATGGTGATGGTGATGGTGATGATGACGACGATGATGATGATGCTGATGCTGATGCTGATGCTGATGCTGATGCTGATGCTGATGCTGATGATGATGATGATGATGATGATGATGATGATGATGATGATGATGGCGGAGGAAATTCTGATGATTTCTCGAGCGAGGCGCGGATTTGAGCACCCCCAAGAGGGAGCCGCCAGGGGTATTGCACTCCTCCGTTCGCTCCAAAATGGCGGGGATGTCTCCAGCGGTTTGCCTGTATTGCTGCTCAGCATCCTCCGCTTTCGGAGCAGATGTGAAGGATGTCTCGAGCGAGGCGCTCATGTTCGCTCCCCGGGGGGGGGGGGGGGGGGGGGGGCGCCATGGGGGTATTGCACTCCTCCGTTCGCGCCAAACTGGCGGGGATGTCCCGAGCGGTTTGCTTGCTTTTGCTTTGGTGCTCAGCATCCTCCGCTTTCGGAGCAGATTAGGAGGATGTCTCGAACGAGGCACTCATTTCCGCCCCAAGGAAGGCCAGATCTTGAGGATGTTTCGAGCGGTTTGCCTGCTTTGGTGGCCAGTCTCGAGGGCACGGATCCCCCCCAGGATGCCACAGAAGGCTCCAGCAGGTTCCAGGAAGCAACAGGAGGCAACAGGGGGTCCCAGGAGGCCCCAGGAGGCCACAGGAGGCCACTTGAGGCCACAGAAAGCGCCAAGAGGCACCAGGAGGCCCGGGAAGGCCCGAGGAGACCCCAAGAGACCCCAGAAGCAGGAGGCCTCAGAAGGCCGCAGATCCAATCCCCAGTGCTTTTACGTATGTTCCTATAGATTGGGCCTCTCCTGGGGCAGGAATACTTCGGGTGTTACATATGTTTCTACCATTTGTTCTTCTCATGTGTGTCCAATCCTAAGTGTTGTACGTTGTTCCTATAGACCGGGCCTCCCTTGGGGCACGAATCCTTGGTGCTTGACGTGTGTTCCTATCGATTGCCCCTCTCCTGTGGCTCCAATCATAAGTGTTTTACGTATGTTCCTATAGATGGGGCCTCTCCTTGGGCACGAACCCCTTCCAGGAGGCCCCAGGAGGCTTCAGGAGACCACAGGAATCCCCAAGAGGCTCCAGAAGGCTCTAAGAGGCTCCAGGAGGCCCCAGGAAGCCCCAGCAGGCCACAGGAGGCCCGAGGAGGCCCCAGGCTCACGCGCATAGATTCACTCGTACGACTAAGACTCATTCACACTCCCACTCATTCACAGTTTCTTTCACTCCCAGTCTATCAATACTCAAGCCCGTTCATATTCGTAGTCTCTTGCGCGTCGACACTCACGGCGGAAAGGACCATGCAAATAGATGTACATATGGAGAGCTCCACGCAGTGAATCTTTGATTTTGGAGCATAGCCAGAATGGTTTCTCGCGGGGTCGATTGCATTGGTTGGACTGGGACTTGATTGGGTTGGTCGCATCCGTTTGGCTGAAGTATTAATTTCGGCCCAACGCGCAACCTATGGCGTAACCGATGGCAGGCCGTTGCATCTCGATTGCTGAGCGCGCAACTCGCGCCAGAGCCAGCAGCAGGCCATTGTATCATTGGCTGCTGGGTGGGCAACGTACGGCACAACCAATAGCAGGACGTGTTTTCCAGGCGGCCGATTGCGCAATTGATAGTGTAAGTCGCAGCAGGCCGTTTGGTCTGAATTGGTTCGTCCTTTGCCGATGGCCATCCCAGACGGACCGGCTTGGGAATAGATGGGGTCATTGGGGTCACCTTGTCGTTTCGTTGGAGATTTGTTGGGCCGTCTAGGGGGGTCATAGGGGGCATCTTCAGGCTCTCGGAGGTCGGGCAATCTCGGGGCTATCTAGGGGGCTCTGGGGGCCAACGCAAGGCCACTAGGTGCATCCTGGGCCGACTTGGGCTGTTCTTCGGCCACCGTGGGCGGTGCTGATGGCGCCCTGGGGTCTCCCGTTGCTTCGGGAGCGCGCACCCGTCGTAATTGATCGAGCTGCCTGTGGCAAGTCTCGCCACCGTGGTGGCCCAGCGTTCGGGATGGCGACTGCTCAAGGGGGCATGGGATGCCGTCACGTGTGGCACCTCTTGGCTCCAGGCTTAGGACATCCGTCTTGAGGGTAATGGGAATGAGAGTGATGATGCGGATGGGGCTGATGATGATGATGATGATGATGATCATGATACTGATGATGATGCTGCTGATGATGATGATCATGATGATGATGATGATCATGATCAGGATTATGATAATGATCATGAGTCTGAACATGATCATGATGGTGATGGCAATGGCGATGGCGATAGCAATGGTCGTGGTGACGGTGGTCGTGATGCTGTTGGTGGTGGTGATGGTGATGATGATTTGATGATCATGTTCTTGTTGTTGTTGTTGCTGATGATGATGATGACGATAACGACGACGAGGGCGACGACGACGACCACGACCACGACCACAACCACGACCGCGACCACGACGGCGACGACGACGACGATGATGATGTTGATGGTGATGCTGATGATGGTGATGGTGGTGGTAGGTGGTGGTGATGGTCATGATGATGATGAAGAAGATGGGGATGATGTTCAATATTGTGATGGTGATGATGTTGATGATCATGATGAGACTGAACATTATCATGATGTTGAGGATGCTGATAGTGATGATGACGAGACTGATGAATATGATGATGACGATGCTGATAATGATGATGATGCTGATGATGATGATGATGATGATGATGATGATGCTGCTGCTGATGATGATGATAATGAGGTTGATGATAATGTTTCTGACGATGGTGATGCGGATGATGAGGATGATGATTTCGATGATGTTGATGTTGTCGTTGAACTCCCACTATTGAAAAATAAATATTGTTGATCCTAGTATTGTTGATCCCTCCTCTCCAGTGACCATTGTGTTTTTTCAATTGAAGTGTTCCCCCGGGGCTCGCACCCTGTTTTGTATTTTGGAAAGCCACTCGGCTCAAGTTGGGTTGTGCCCCCGGGCTACAACAACAACAACAACAACTCCCGCTTGATACCTCCTTACCATTTAGCCAGGACCCCCGCTCCAGCCTGAGGCTTCTTCGCATTTACTCAGGAATCGCGCTCTCGCTTGGGGCTTCCTTGCACTTATTCATGAATCGCTCTCTCGGCGGTTTGGAGTCGCGCTCCCACGGGAGACTTGCTTGCATCTTACTCAAGAATCGCACTCTTCGTTGGAATTCCTTGCACATTACTCAAGCGCTGCGCTCCCAACACTCAGGTACCCATTAGTCGCGCTCACGCTTAGGACCCCCTCACAGATTTACTTAGGAATAGGGATCTCGCCGCCCTTCGTGGCCCCGTTGCAGCCTTTCGTGGCCCCCTCGCTGCCCTTAGTGGCCCCATATGTGCATGCCATACGTGGCCCCCGCGCTGCCCTTCGTGGCCCCGCTGCAGCCCGTCGTGGTCCCCTCGCTGCCCTTCGTGGCCTCGTTGCAGGTTGCGCCCCGTCGTGGCCCCGTTGCAGCCCTTCGTGGCCCCGTTGCAGCCCTTCGTGGCCCCCCCGCTGCCCTTCGTGGCCCCGTTGCAGCCATTCGTGGCTCCCTCGCTGCCCTT